AAAAAAAAAAAAAAGAAGAAGAAGAAGAAGAAGAAGAGAAGATATCTATATATTCTATAGACTTATCCATGATATACCTTTTGATATGAAAAGATCGGTACATGTTCTTATTCAAATCAAACAACAATGAAGTGTTGTGAGCCCTTCACTCTAATATAATGATTAGAGATATGTGTTCTTATGGCCGAGATATATAAAGATGAATAATTTGCGGTACACATTCCTTTAGAAATTCTGTTGAGATAGGGGTCTTTTGTTTTCTATAGGAATAGGTATCTTAACAAATCAATTTAAATGAATTGAAATTTCCAAATCAAATACCTTAAAACGTGGATCGTGCAAGTCAGTTAAAAAATCAGATGCGGATTTCTTGCTTCATCTCAATCTGATTTCTTGCTCCATCTCAATGCGTATCTTTAGACAATAACTAATTTAAATAATCCAAAACTGATATATCAAACACGCAAATTAGCGTGGACAGATTGTATAAGAGCATCTCCAGTGTAGAGATGTAAATATTAAATGTTCATGCCACGTGTTTATAATTAATTGGATAACTAATTCCCCTTAATATCAACGTTGACATTGAGAATAACAACACCCAAATGCTTCATACAATGCACACTTTTTTTTATTGGGTTCTATTAACCTGTTTTTTAAATGCACTATACTGAGATTTTGTCAAATTGAATTTTTATACTTTTAATAGATTGAACGAGTTTTTAGTAGTATCTGCATAACGAGTTAACAACCCTATCTCCTAATATATTTGGAGCTTGTTATTCCATATAAATACACCTAAGTTGAGAATGTTAAATCATAACCTTCATATTACCTTTAGATTTGATTTCAAAATATTGGAGACTCCACTCTTAATTTTAAACATATTTTGAGACTCATATGTATTCACATTCATGTATAGATTTGATTTTAAAATATTGGAGACTCCAATCTTGATTTTAAACATATTTGGAGACTCATATGTGTTCACCGATCCTTCAACCAGGTTTGCTGCATTTTTTTTCTTTTTACTAGATTTTAGTTACTATTATTTTTATATATATTTGTATATGGTTTTTTTTCTCCACTTTCTCGAACCTTTTTCCCACGATTCTACAAATTTTGGGACGTTTCATACTGTCAAAGAGAGTGTTTGGTTTCAAACAGTGGGCTTCACTACTGTCAAGCCACGTCAGATAAAATTAGTCCACGACAGAACCCATTGGAGAGATAAATATGAAGCCGTTATATTTAATCATGACATGACAATAATTTTTTTCATTTGACAGCAAGCATTGGAGTTGCTTTAATGCATAAAATAAGGAATAATTCGGTTTACTTTGTTTTTAAAATGCGTGAATATTTATTTGCAAAAAATATGGAATCGTTTTGACTACATATTAACAAAAATAAAACGAAATATCTAACCAAAATTTAAAACAACGAATAAAAAATCGGATAGATAAGATTTCAGATGTTTTAAAAATTGCCATAATTAGTAAGTCAATTGGGTTGAATGTGATTTTTATGAAGTTTCTACAATTGATTTTTTTACATTCCTCTTTCAATATATATAGATCCATCTAATCCAATAAAAAATATAAAAATAATAAATACATATAATTTTCAATAAAAAAACAATATTTATCTACTTACCTATTTCTAAATACCATATTTTTATTAATATTATTTAATATCACTTCTACTAACTTTATATTTTTTATCTTATCTATACTTATATAATAAGAATTAACATTTATCCAAAATAGTAGGTCAACTTATGGTCAATGTCGGATTTGCATTAAATATTTTCCAAAACCGGTAAGTTTTTGTCCTTTTCACACTTCTCATTAATTATGTCATTTTCACACTTCTCATTAATTATGTCCTTTTCACACATCTAATTAAATCATTCCATATGAGCTTTTATCGTTAAAACGTATAGCGATCTGTTATGACCTTATCCTATTGATATTTTCATGAAGCGTCCTTATCGCGTTCTATTTTTTGGTAATCTCTATATCAATAACCGGATATTTGGTTAATGATAGCACACGTCTTTATTTCAAGGTGCGGGTATTCTTTGACCTTTAATTAATCTGAACTGATTGACTTGACTTTTCAATTTTTAAAAACTCTTTTTTTATCGCACATTAGTACTTTCCTGAATAAACCCGTTTTTAGTCACGGCCAATTATATGTTGCTGCTTCGCGTGTAAATAATAGAAAGGGGTTGAAAATATTAGTTTGTGATAATGAGGAGTTACCAAATAATCAAACTCATAATGTTGTGTACAAGGAGGTTTTTAATAATTTATGATTGTTACTGAACTTTTTATATTCAACAATGTTCCTATATATTTTAATGATTTCAATTTCGGTGCAACGTGAGATTATATTATTCTTCCAAATTTTACATATCGTGCATCGCACGGGTTACGTACTGGTATTACCATCTCAAATCTTTTCCAAGTTTTCTAAAAATGATTTTTTTAACTTTCATCTCTATTAGTATTTCAAAGGAGAGATAAAAACGTCTTAAGAGGTGTAACGCTTTCGTGGTGCGGCACCATCGGATGGCTTCCATCCAACCAAAGTGAGCGACACAGACGATCCCACCCTAAAAACCCTAAACAAGGCTACCGCAGTTCCACCATAAGTCCTCACTCCACGAGCCCGAAAAGAAAAAGAAAAAAAAAAAACCCACACACACTTTCACGTTTTAGTGCGTGAAGAAACGCATGAACAGAACCTGTATATATAAATACACGCTCGAATGAATTGCACACATTTTCTCCTTCCGCCGGTTTTCACTCCGCCGCACCTCAGTCGCCTCTCTCTCCTCCGGTCTCATACCGTCGTATCCTTATCCACAAACTGTAAGTCTCTATCACTCGGTGTTTGGTTTTCAGTTTCTTATCTCATTTGCCGTTACCTATTTGGCCGGAGGCCTTCGTTGAACTGAAAAGTTGCTGTCTTTGCAATAAATTGTGTTAATAGTATCATTTATAGTGAGAATTAAGTGGATGAGATAGGATTAGGATGGTTGGAGCTATTCCGGCACTTTGTTTAGAATGGCGATTTTCTTCAATTTGTGTAAGTTTGAAACAAATGAAATGGCATGCTAATCGGGTAACTTTTGAGACTAAACTCTGATGTAATTTATGTGGTTAGAGTATATGTCGAGTGTATTGTATGTTATAGAAAGAGAAACTGATGAAATATTGTTGAGGTTACAAAATCAAGATCCCACAAGATGTTGGCGTCATATATGTAGTGTCCCTGTCCTGCTTTGGCTCTTGGTGGTGTCCTTACCATTACTGGTGTCTCTGGGCATCTCAATCTGTTCGCTATCGGTGATAGTGTAATCTAGTTTATCGATCTTTAGGGGAACATGATCCGAGTTTTTTTTTTTTTTTTTTTCATCAANTGTTATATATAATTAACACATAAACTTTCTATTTAAATTGCCCCTTGTTCCTATGTTGTTTTAGTTCAGACATACATTAACTGGTGCCTTTAGTAATTTCTTTGTTTATCTCATGAAATTAGACAGGTGTTATTAAACCATCTCGAAGATTTTTTCTCCGAGCTGCGTCTTCATCCACACCAAATATGGAAAATGTGAGTTGCATTGGATCATTTTTATGTCAGAAGCTTTGTTTCACAGTAAAACCTACCCTTTGCATTCATGCATTTCAAGGCAGTTATTAGCGTATAAGCTTATATGTGTATTTATTAGTTCCTACGTTTGAGAAAACAAACTCAGGGGTACCACTGTCTCACGCCTGTCATAAATTGTGATTTAATGTACATTATCAGGATCCAGAGGCATTTGGAAGTCTTAAGCAACAACTGGCAAAGCTATTCGAAAAATCATTGAAAGTAACAGTCCCGGAAGAGTTGGATGTAGTTCCTGCTATTGCTCCATGCCAAAATCCTAAATTTGGTGATTATCAATGGTGAGGCTGGCCCCTTATATCCTGGTTATCTATTTGCCTTTCCTATCTTGTTGAATAGAATTAGTTTACCATAAAATTGAAAGTTTATTATCTTTTTCAAAACTTAGTTATCTTAGAAGTAGCTGTACCTCAGCTACAGTTAAGTAAATTTGGACTCTCTTGCTACAGCAACAATGCCATGGGCTTATGGTCAAAAGTTAAAGCAAAGGGTACCCAGTTTAAAGGTCCCCAACCTATAGGACAGGTACTGATGATTAATAAAGGTTTTGTTGCAGTTTTCTTGATGTTCATAATATTATGCTGTAATTCTAATGTGCCTAAAATGATGCATGATTGTCTGAAATGTTTATTATAGACCATTATGAAGAATCTCCCTGAGTCGGAAATAATAGATTCATGTTCAATTGCTGGTGCTGGCTTTGTAAATGTTGTTCTGTCTAAACAATGGATAGCCAAGGTAATTTTATAGGAACTGCTTTTATTTTACCTGAATTTTATTTGTCTTGTATGTGAAAATCTTACCTGAACTGCGTGTGCAGAGCATTCAAAAGATGCTAGTTGATGGTATTGAAACTTGGGCTCCTAAGCTTCCTGTTAAAAGGGCTTTGGTTGACTTTTCCTCACCCAACATAGCAAAAGAAATGCATGTCGGTCACTTAAGATCAACTATTATTGGAGATACCCTGGCCCGTATGCTGGAATACTCAAAAGTGGAAGTTCTTCGGAGGAATCACGTTGGAGACTGGGGGACACAGGTAATGGAAGTTTTGTATGTTTCCGATAATAAGCAGCAGCTCTACTCTCTTTCTTAGAAATGATGACTCTGCTTATGATGAATCTCTGCTCATCCAATCACAATTATCTGTTTTGACTTTTGGACTTGCATACATGGAATGAAATCGTGAGATGAAATAAAGTTATGCTTAGTACTTCGATTCTTGGTTACTGTTGGATCACTTTCCCCTGTGAATAACTGCTTGTATTCATTTATATATATTTCTATCATGATTAATACTTAGTTGAAGTAACATTCATGATGGAGAGAAAATCCATTTTCAGTTATGTAATGTTTTGTTATGGAATAAAACAATAATATTGAATACTCTCTGTTAGTTTTCTACACAAAGTCATGTTTGGTATTGGAAGGTAAATGATATTGATATGTAATTCCCTAGATGGAATTTTGTTTCCTTATCAACTCTATTATCCATGCTAATGCTGTCTGTTTGCCTTACAGTTTGGAATGCTAATTGAATACCTGTTTGAGAAATTTCCCAGTGGGGAAATTACCAATGATCAAGCCATTGGAGACCTTGAGGTGAGATGAAATTCTGAATGTCCTTTATTCGTCACTGTTCTTGTTGGGTTATGTTGAATATCTCTTTGCACTTTGATTTCGAAGCACGACATAAAGCACAAAGGGCTTTAGTGATATTTTCTTTTACCGGTTAATGGTAATTTCAACAGACAAGTGTACTTTTTCTCTGGTACACTGTATATGAACACAAATTGAGTCCTTGATCTTGTCCTTATCACGCACACATCGGACATGGAATATTTACATTACTCTTAAGTTGACAATGATTTATTTTTTTACCAGTCGTAGTACAGTTAATAAGCTTTTCGATACCTGAAATATCTTGATTCCATATCTTAAAGTTAATTGATAGACTAATGTTGACTGTTTAGATCTGTTCTATTATGAATTTGCTGTTTATTGCCATTTCTTGTTGACAGCTTGTAACGTGTTGGCTATGCTCTCATATTTGATAAACTATATTACTGCTGGCGTGCTGCATTTCTTTAAAAGGAAAATTTGAAGTTATAGTTTATTAAACCTCCTTTTATGACTTGGGTGCTGCTTTTCAGGCATTCTATAAGGCATCAAAGCAGAGATTTGACAGTGATCCTGTTTTCAAGGAAAAGGCACAACGGGCAGTTGTCAGTCTTCAGGTAAATAACTTTGATTGCTCAAGGATTTCCTTGTTGATTCCTGTTACAGTCTTACGAGCTATTTCTGACTTATTAAAAACGTTAAAGTTCATAAGTAATGTACCTTATCATTTTTATGCATGCAACTAAATCAATATGCATATTACAGGCTGGAGATGAGAAGTACAGATATGCATGGTCTCAAATTTGTGAGATTAGCAGGAAAGGATTCCAAAAGGTCTATCAGCGTCTTGGAGTTCACTTGGAGGAAAAGGTACTAGAGTGCTAATTTGTCTACCTGATGCTTTTTGTTTATATCCAATGAGGTTTTCCAACATCTGCATCATGTGATCCATATAAGATTGTGTGATAATATATTGTAGTTTGGTGGTGTTCTCAGCAATTAATGTTTCTCTCTCTTCACTATAGATACACTATTTACATGGATTTCTAATATACATGCGGTGTTAATCTTTTTGACATTTTTCGTCACTTTCTATAGAGTTTGAAATAATAAGCGACCTTTTCTTCTGCATCAGGGTGAAAGCTTTTACAATCCATATATTCCTGGAGCGTTGGAGTTACTGAGTCAAAAAGGATTAATTGAAGAAAGTGAAGGTGCCCGTGTTATCTTTATTGAAGGAAAGAACATACCACTTATTGTTGTGAAGAGGGACGGCGGTTACAATTATGCTTCAACTGATCTTGCTGCTTTGTGGTGAGTTTGATCCTTCTCTATATCTTATGTTTAAAGAAAATTCTTGCAAGTCCTTATTCTTTGCTTGCATACTGCTTGCTCTATTTTTGTCCTGGTTTAAAATACCTTTCAAGTACCAGCTAAAAATTTCCTTTCTCAGCTCCTATATTTTAAAAACATAGGTCGTCATTGTTGAAATATTGTGATGTAAATAATTTCACTGATACCTAAAATTTCTACTGCAACTGCATGCTGTTTCTGCCAGATGTGCCGTGGAAAGTGCTTAAATATTGTTATGGGAATTGATTTTCATTACATACTCACATGTGCAACACAGGTATCGACTGAATGAGGAAAAAGCTGAGTGGATGATATATGTAACTGATGTTGGTCAGCGAGAGCATTTCGAGATGTTCTTTACTGTAAGTCTCAGCATCCTACCAAGGTCATCGTGTATTTATTTTGCCTGACGGTAGTGAAAGTTTTTAAAATGTCCCAGGCTGCAAAACGAGCTGGCTGGCTTCCATCTGAGGATAATAAGTATCCTAAAGTTAGCCATGTAGGCTTTGGCCTTGTTTTGGGAGAGGATGGAAAGAGATTCCGTACTCGGAGTACTGAAACTGTCAAACTAGTTGATCTACTTGATGAAGCCAAAAGTAAATGCAAAGCTGCTCTAATTGAGAGAGGTTAGTTTTTTTTTTTTTTTTTTTNACAGATTGTTGTTTTCCTGAGTTGCTCAGAACTGTAAGAAATTTTTTTGATTAAATAATTGCTTTATTTGTACATCAGGCAAGGATAAAAAATGGACTGAGGAGGAGCTTGACAAAACTGCTGAAGCAGTCGGATATGGAGCTGTTAAGTGAGTATCTATCCTGCGCTTTCTTCTTGACTAACTTTGCATCAATCAACATAAGGCGTATAATTATATGTATGCTAACTATACAAATGTTTGGTTCAACAGAAAGATAACTACCATAGTAATTGCTTATATAATAATCTCATATATTATGAATTTATGATTTTTATTGTTCATTCAAAACAGATACGCTGATCTGAAGAACAACAGAACAACAAATTACACATTCAGTTTTGACCAGATGCTCAATGACAAGGTACGCGTTTATTGACTACCAAGTGTTGAATATTCACGAAATAGTGTATTATTCGGAATGTGAATTAGCTGGTCGGTAGTATATTCATGAAATTCTATTGCATGTTGAATTGTAATTCAAATTGTTGTGTTCGTGATCAGGGAAATACAGCTGTATATTTGCTGTATGCACATGCTCGAATCTGCTCAATCATCAGAAAATCAGGAAAAGACGTTGAAGAATTAAAAAAGGTAATCCTTTGTGACTTTTATCTGTTTTCTTGTCATATATTTCATTGTGTGATGGTGCCAATTGAGTTTAACTTTCTCTAATATTGAATGGCCATCTTCTGGTTAATCTCTTATGAGCAAGTGATATAGTTGGTCTTTCATCTATGCCATGGAGTCATTAAAAATATATTTTAAAAATACTAATTTTAATTTACCAACATTCACAGATTACATGTAATCAATGATTTATTTATTTATTTATTTTAAATATTTATGACAGACTGGGACACTAGATTTGGTTCACCCGGATGAACGTACGTTAGGGCTCCATTTACTCCAGTTTCCTGAGGTAAATTATCACATTTCACTGTTAATCCTGTTGCTACACTTTCCTTTTACACTGCTTTCGCATGCTGTGCTGTTTTTTTTTATGTATATTTCCGTTGTGTCACTTTTTGCTTCTGCCTTCTTGTTAGATTGTTGAAGACGCTTGCACCTATCTTTTGCCGAACATACTGTGTGAATACTTGTACAATTTATCAGAGGATTTCACTAGGTTTTACACCAACTGCCAGGTNAAAAAAAAAAAAAAAATCCCAATAACTTCATATTGTTAGAAATAACCCAAGCTAGCTTTGTAAATTACCAAACACCTCCTTGATTTGTATTTCTGTTTCAAAAAAAGTGCACTGTGAATAGGATATTTCTTAACACCACTAGTCATATTTTTTCCCGTTATAATATAAACTCAGTCGATATTATCTCCTAGGTTGGATTTTAGTTTGGATTTGGATTTTAATTTACGACTCGTCTGACTCTTGAAATCTGGAACTCGTTTTTTTAGGTGGTGGGGTCGGCAGAAGAGACGAGCAGGCTGTTGCTGTGCGAAGCAACGGCAGTTGTAATGAGAAAATGTTTCCATCTACTTGGGATTACACCCGTTTACAAAATTTAAACTCGGCATTTTGTGACTCTCGCACGGGATTATTTTGATGTGCATTTATCTTTTCATTTGTACCTTGAGGCTTTTTCGGGAAATTTAATGTATTAAAGTTTACGGTATAAATATGAAATTGTTCGATCTTGAATGCAATTTGCTGCTTTTAGTTTCTTATGTGAGGTGTTGAAGGGATGAAGCATTGGAAGAAACTTGATGAATTTTTACTCACTCATATTTACATATGTGCATTAGCCTCGCTTGTCACAACTCGTAAGTATACATAAACACGTTTTCTGGTTTATCTTGAATCAAAATTTTAGCCCGAGATATTGATGCAATAATATACATTTAATAAGATGAGTTTTCTTATTGTTGTT